AAAAAAAAAAAAAAAAAAAAAAAAAAAAAAAAAAAAAAAAAAAACCCTAGGGAATAGCGTGTTATATATAATATAGGGGAATATAAAGTAAGGTGCAGCACATATATAACATTTCATATATTTATATGTTTTTCTCATAAGCGCAAAAGTACTTATATAAACTTAATAAATCACAGTGCTTTCCTTATCTTTTTAAAATTCTTATCATTTTAAAATATTTACAAAATAATTTGGCATTGGCTTATATTAATTGATGTATTTATCATTTAGTTCTTTAGTTATTTACATGTAAGTTCTTTACTTTTTTTTCTCTTTAATTTTATTAAATGTACAATTGTCCCTTCTTTTACAGGTATTCAAAAAACTGGGTTCTATTTTTAGTGTATATAAATAATGAAGACTTGATAAGGAAATTATTTCAAATAAAAGTAAATATAGCATTTAAACGATTTTTTTTTTTTTTTTTTTTTCTGTTCTTTCGCTTCATCTTCTTCTTCCCTAGTACTTAAGACGTTATTGCTATATAATAATTTCAGGGAATGAAAAGAAAGGTTATAGACATATTTTAGTTATGCACATTTCTTTGTATCATTATGAAGATATCATTTTTTACACCATTGTGTATTATTAAACGCATGATAAATATTCTTTTCATTTATGAAATTAATAATAAAAATGGATGTTACATTTTATAAGCCTATTTCTGTGCGTAAATAAACATACGAATTTGTATCGAATGAAATCACTAAGCGCGAATACATCTTGTGGACATAATTCCATATGGTGCCAAGAATACATGAAACGTAGGAATGTATTAATTGCATAGTAGGAGATAGTTTTTAAAAGGGCAAAAAATAATTTCGAAATTGGACGAAGCAAATAAGAGGGAGGAAAATGTTTCATCTGAATAGAATAATAATTAAACCTAATTGGGAACAATAACAGAATATACATAACCTAAAAAACCGTTAATGGAATGATTAAATATGGCAGACATTTATTATTAGGCCAAGTAATAAATGCGCGGATAAAATATAATGGATATATATTATTATTCTGTACTTTTTGAGTAGTTGTATCGTAAATTGTATAATTAATTATGGGTTTTTGCTTTTAAATGAAATTCACACCACCAACAGGGCTTAACATTATGTTTTTCGTTGATCAGGCTTCTTATTTTCCTTTATTATATTTATACTCCATTACATTCCACTTTGTTGCGAGGCACAGGAAATAAAGGTGAACACTTATAATTTCCATACCTCTTTTAAAACCGTTATGGCAACATCGTTGTGAAATATGATCTTTATATGTACAGGTAAAATTCAAATGTTTAATGTTAAGAACAATAGAGCATTTGTTCCCTATTTTATTTGTATTAAATAAAATGAGCGATAAAAAAAAAATAAAATAAAATAAATATTAAGAGAAATACAATTTTCCTATTATCAAAAAAATTTCATGTAAAACAAATTTATCCGTAACAGAAACTATGCAACACAAGTACATGTAAGTAGGTGGCTAAATAACGAAGCGTTATACGTACACATGCGTTCCAACCTTTTAATACAAAAAACTCATTTTCAGGATATATTTTATAAAACAAATTTATCCTTTTCCATTAGCTACTGGAGGTTCCCCTATCCTTTTGTATAAAAAATGTTTGTAAATGCGACAAAGGTGTAAATGTTACATGAATTTCATCGTCCCATAAAATAACTCTACACCAATGAATATTATATAATGCATTCCAATTAGCGTTATTTCCATTCATGTTTTTATACTTTGGTGATTTTTTAAGTATGGATAAATATGTTATTCGACGGTAAAAAAAATAAAATAAATAACATAATAGAAACGTTTTCATTTAATATAATCATTTTGTTGGTAACAAATTATGCACCGCAAGCTGTTTCATTTTTTTTCTCTTCAATCCAGACCTTCCACTTTTTTCCTGCTACCAATTTGCACATATATGATTCCCTCCACTCGTTAAACAAGACTTCTCTACCATCTTTCCATTTCTTCCATTGCTTGCACTCACTGTTTTCATAGAATTCATATTTTTCGGCAACCCATTTTTTCCATTGCTCTTTCTCATTGCATAATCTGTTATTCCATTTATTCCAGTTACTTTGTGCCCTTTCATATAATGGTTCTGGTAGGGTTAAATCTTTATATTTTTGCCAGTAATCAAATTCTTTACGTCTCCAATCTTTTAATAACCATGTGAGGATTTTTTCGTTCTTCCATTCTTCCCATTTTTTTATAATCCAAGCATTATAATGAGCATAACTTCCATCAATCCATTTATGGTAATGCATTTCCATAATTTTTTCCCCTTCATCTTTCATCCAGGTTTCCCATTGATTTTCATCCCAATCTTGTGCATTCTTTAAAATATCCGATTTAAATTCTGTGTCCATATTTTCGTTATAATGTGCCCATCTGTCTTCCATAGACTCTAGCCATTTCTGCCATTCTTTTTCTTTTGCATCAAACCATGTCTTTTTTCCATTCTCGAGACCCGCATTGAAATAATTCCAGTCTGTTTGCAGTTTCATAAACCAGTTATTCCATGCATATTTTTTCAATTCTTCTGATTTCTCAATTAGTCCTTGTTCAAGGGCGATTTCTTTGTATAATTCTCTATTCTGCGGCGTTTCTGGTATTTCCTCATGTTTTTTCTACAAAGTGATAAGCACAGTTTTTTATAAAGTATATATTTATGTAACAGTTGGGATGCAACCACCGCACCTTTTTTCTTTAGCATGTAAAATATGAATAACCATATACACGCACTTCATATTTACACGGATTACACAAGAAGAGCAGAAGATTCTACATTTTTTCCTACAGTTTGTCATTTTTCGCTTTAATTTTTTCATGTTTTGCTTTTTGATATATTATTTTTTTTTTCTCTTACCTGTGGGAGACGCTTTACGAACAGAAGAACAGCTGCCAGGGTGAATAAGATGAAATATATATACGGAGCAATGGAACGCGCGTCAATATTTGACAGTATGCTTTCCTTATTTATAGTTAATGCATTTCTAAGCCGTTGTTGAATAGGGCTTATAATATTTGAGTATGAACTTCTAACCAGTTCCATGCTGCTGAAAATTTAATTAAAAAAAAAACAAAAAAAAAAGAGCAATAAATACAGGGGAACGAAACCAAATAAAATAAAGGAATGGGCGCATAAAGGAATATAAACGAATAAAGGAATGGGCAAAAAAGTATAACAAATTGAGGAAGGGTTATCCAATTAAATAGCTACATTGTTATTTGTGGAACTATTACGAGTCTTCCGCATTTTATAAAAAATATTTTCTTATTGAAGCACTAAGACTAACTCTGGATTAGAAAAACGGGCTGTAAAATTCACATATGTTCCTAAGTGAAAATATGACGTGGCGCAAAAAAGGAACCATTAAATATTTATATATATATGCATATATCTATATGTTGGAAAACTGGTATCGAAAAATTAAACGACGCAAACGGGGACGATAAAAACCATGGACGCCCTCAATTAATGAAACGATTTCGCCTTTATAAGAGTAATTTTCTGAATATTTTAATTTAAGAGAGTGGTATAGGGATCACAAGTTGCACTTGCTATTATTTATTTAAACTCGTACAGGAACATAATTCTTTTTCACAATAATTTAGCGCCCTTTTTTCTGGAAAAGAATTCACTTGCGAAAAAGGGGAACAATAACTTTGTAAAACAAGTATATAATAACTTTTTTATTAATTTCCATGAACGGTAGTAATATATATAATATATTCATGAGATACAATTACTACATGCGTGGTCGCTATATATGAAAATAATGCCATTTATATGTAGTATTATTTTGCTTAGATTCCATACTAAGGTTTAGTACAGTTTCTGATCCATGTAAAGTAGCTACATATAATAATATATTTCTGTTAACACATATTAAGACAACTGCGACGCTTTTTACATTACCAGAAAAATATTTGTGTTTGTTCTTAAAATTGTATTTACTTTGAGACATGCGTTTTATATGTGAAAATTTTATTTTTAATTCCATCTAAAAAGGAGTAAGCTGTAAATTATAAAATGCGCACATGGAAGGAAAAAATATATCACATGTGGTTTATGTTTCCATACATATGAAACAAAATGGATCATAAAAATATGTGGATAAAGCTGTATATAAATGAATCCGAACAAAGTGTATCAGATTTATATGCTTGAAGTAAAAGCTATTTTGTCATTATATATAGAATGTTATCACTCTGTATTATTTGGTTGCTACCATATTTGTGATTCATTTTGAATATCACTTTTTTTTTTTTAGATCTGTTTAAGAATTTTTTGCAACTTTGTAGGATTTTTCCATCGCATTACTAGTCTTCTTTATTTTTGTACTCTTTATTTTTTTTTTTTTTTGCTTTTTTAGAACTGTTCTGATCATTTTCTAAAAAAATAAAAATGAACATTATTTTATGCTCCTAATTTCTGAAGCATATTTAGAATAAATATTGGTTTCTTGTATTTTTTAAAAGGAGGTTAAGGAATCTTATGTGAATGATTTTGATCAAGAGAAGGGGTAAATTATTTATCATAATTCTTTATAAAGTACACCTTAAGGAAAAATGAAATTCGTTCTTTTTTATAGTCCACAGTTTGTAAACAAAATCAAGTTATTCATCAAATTCTAATAAATATGTTTCTCAAATGGTACAACAGAGGATTTTTTTTATATAATATATATCTAATATAGCGCTATTCTTCAGCTATTTTGATTAGAATCATTTGTGTAAACTCTAATATAAGATATTGATAAAGTCGTGATGGAAAAGAAAAGAGAAACAAGAACGAGAAATTTAGTACAATTTTAACCGCTTAAAACGCTAAAAAAAATAAAATAAAAAAAAAAATCATACCATCCCCATCAATGTACTCATTATTATGTTGGTTTAAATGTAAATGTTGAAGGAAAATTGTATAAGGCTCTCAAAAAAATATCTATCCGTTTAAAAAAAAGACAAAGTGCCTAACATTGCATCTGTAGTAATTCCATATCGAAACAGGCAATACTTTCGTTATGGTAGAAGAAGAAACGAAGGGATTTAAAGGCCTAAAAATTTAATTCGGGACTTGTACATTTATAGAAATATATTAAAACTGATTTGTCAGTTATAAATGTGTGCAGTGTACAACAGGGGATCATAATACACTCCTTAGTAACAGCTTCCTTTATTAAATCTTAATAAGAACTTAATTATATTTCATTTAACAAAGACAATAATTAAACATAATTCATAAATTAATCATATTTCTAAATAAAGGCTATGCAACAATAACAATATACACCTACTTTTTAACAGAACGGTAGATGTTTACTGTCCTGTAAATATTTCATTAGAACTCTGCACAAATGATCTAATCTCATAAAGAGTTCTTACGAATTACTACAAATATACAAATATACAAAAAACAACAAAAAAAAAAAAAATAATAAATAAATAAATATATATATATATAATATATATAAACAGAAGAATAAGAATAAGAATGAAGTGATGAAACGGAAAGAGCTTCAAAAAGCACAATTTTTTAAAGATATTATACAAAGTTAGAAATGTAAATGAAAACTTTCAAATATAAAAGGACTCGAATATAGACAGGGCGTATATATAACAGCCTATGATCTGCTGTCGATGTTACTGTTTCTGTTACCGTTGTTGTTGCAGTTTGTTGTGCTTCTCTTTGCGCTTTGGCAGCTCCGCTGCCTATTGCAGTAATGGTAGTCAACGCCTTGTTACTCCTAAAGGTAAAATAAGGATCCAGCAATTTATGATGCAAGAGTATCAAACAAACACCATGAAGAGGCATATACAAGAATGTCCTTGTTATTCTTGGATTTTGTGTAGAAATTTCGAAGGAGTGTTTAAATTATCTAATGTAGTTTGAATTCGTAAGTACTTCAATTTTTGCGTTCTGTACTGAGCTCCATTAATTTCTGCTCGTCATAAACTCCGTATATTTTATTTATACGTTTGCACTTCTTATATTTGTACCATACATATGCAATGGTTGCACTGAGTATCATAGATGTTATGACAACACCAGATATTACATTTAACAAAGCGAACAAAATCAAAAAGACAGAAACTGATATAATTGGGGAAATAATGAATAATTTATCCTTAAGCATGTGTCTTAATCCTTTATTTTTTTTTTGTTCGAGATGCTGGCCATCATATGCACAACTAGTACCTGTAATTATACTTAATATTTCAGTTTCATAAATTGCATCTGATTTTTTTATGAATTTAATAAAATTTTCTAATATGGATTCGGGGGCACTTTTGTTTAATTTTTTTTTTTGCAATATGCATTTTATTTCATGTTCTTCCATTGGTCCGCCACAATCAAAACGTGGCAGGTGGGTGTTCACAGTAATATCAAAGGTGTTAAAATTACACGGGGTGTGGTGACCTTCTGTATTCCGTTGATAATGATGAGCTTGTCTATCAAAATTATCGGATACATATTCAGACACATGAGGACGTGATATACAGTCTGATCGACTACAAGAAGGGTGTCCCATATTCATGTAATGACCTCCACATGATAAGTAATCTCTTGTTCCTGAATGTTGATCATACATTAATGACTCGACAGCAAACTCAAGGTCACTCTGATTTTTGTAATGACCATCGTCATCCGACCTTCGTCTGCCATAATCATCATAATGTTTACCACCTCTCGTTCCAGGTCCTCTTGCATAATACGCATTATTCCTATATGAATGGCGAGGTATGCTTGGATAACCTTCTTCATGCATTATTGCATTAAATCGTTTATGAATATTGCCATCGTGTATCATAGAATTAAAGCCACTCTTTAAATTATCTTCAGATGATAATGCGTGAAAACGACTTTCAAAGTGAGCATCCTGTACAGAACTATTCGTTCTTCTTGACATATTAGGAAGTTGATAATCTTGGTGGTCACCGCCAATTCTAGATCTCCTAGGTGCCTCATCTGTTCTTGGATATATTATGCATTGGCTCAATAATCTGTTGTTGCATTTATGACATGATGCATTATATAAGGACTTTGATGCCTAAAAATTAGAAGAATAACAGAAAGAAATGTGTTAGGTGCGTTTACTACATATGTATTTATGTACTCATATGGAGGTAACGAATGTGTGTGTATGCATTGCATTTACTTCTACATTTTAATATATTTTTCATTTGAAAAATAAAAGATTAGAAGGTTCAAAATGCAAGTGTAAACATTCATTTATGTTAATTATTATATCCTACGTTACACACATATTGCGACGACCATGCTAAGAGAAAATAAGTCAAAATTTTCATACAGGAAATCATATTCCTGCTTCCTGTCATTTTTAATTTCTTGGGAAATTACGAATTCCCTTTTGTAATAATAACATAAGAATGCTAAGGTGTTATACAAACAATTAATTAAATAGGATTATATATAATGCTAAATTTCATTTTGTACTCTATTATAATTATAAGAAGCGTTTTTAAAAGAGCTTTAGTTTGTTTGTTTTTTTTTTTGTTATACATTAAATTTTAAATCTGAAACTTAGGTGTTTTTTTGTTATCTATTTGTTATTCTACAACGGTTTTAGGGATGTAGAATGCACTAGTTGTATAATTTTAAGAATAGAATTATTAATTTATATCTGTTGCTACCGTTCACATTTCAGAATACATTTATAAAAATATAAAATTTCAGCTTGTATGATTATGTGTAACTTTTAGCAAAATTTAATATATTTAAAAAGGACGGTAAGGAATCATTATTTCAACTAATATATTGGTTGTAACAAAAGTCAAGAATTCATTTTCCGAAATAATTTAATTATAGAAATGTGAAAAATATGAGAGAAACATTTTAGTAAAAAATTCTTAGTTGCTCGAAAATAATGTACATTATTTTATATATTTATATATATGTTGAATATATATATAATTCCTACAGTAAGCTTATATGTATACCTTTGTGTGAAACAATGAAATAAAAAGAACAAAGCTCCTGTAGTTTATGTGTAAGTAAAAATTATATCATTAGATAAACAAAACTACCTTTTATAATATATTGCCTTCGAGGGACAAAACAAAGTACTGTGTAGAACTTTTTAAAGTTATTATAAACAGGGAAATGTGCAAAGTAGTAATTTTAAAATTGAATTATTGTGAAAAAGAATAAAAGCCCATTTATATATTGTTAATGAAATATATTACAAGTTGCGTGTAATTATGGGTAATAGATGTAACATTATTAAATTGTCATATTAGTGGGGGAAGTGCTTATGAAGTTTGACTAAATCCATGGGGACTTGTAAAATTTATAACATAGAAAAATTATTGAATATATTTTTTCATTAAATACAGTTTTTGCTCTGTGTGTTCTATTTTTAGAAGAATGATTAATTTATTTTTTTTGTTAAATTATACAATTCTATGAAATATTCATTCACAGAGTATACACAAAGAAAAAAAAGGAAAAATAAAAGGAAAATAAGAATTTAAATTGTTCTTATGTGAAAAATTACGCTAGTACAATTATGTTAAATAGTTAAAAAAAAAGAAAAAAAAGATTAGTTACACACATCTGCGTTGACCGCAGTGTGCATATTTATCAAACCGTGTAAGTAAGCCTATCTAATTGGGGGACACAATTTCACGTAATATATATAGGTACCATTATACATATGCCAATGGGGGGAAAAATAATAGTTATGTTAATATATTTGATAAATAAATTTTAGCCATGTAAATGGAGTTCTATTTATTTATTACACATCCTTTTCAATGTACTTAAGGAATCATATTGGCAGATTTTCGCTCATTCTTATTTAAAATGAGAAAGAGAATAAAAGTTGAACATGTATATATATGTGTAGGTATTTCCTATATACTTGGACTTTTACTTATATTTGTAGATTTTTTCTTAAATAATCCCTTATATATATTTTTTTCTTTTTTTTTTTTTTATCCCAATTATATTGCATACAATTAGCAGACGTACCAGTTTTAAGGACTTGTTTTTTTAGTAACACATAAGAATTTCTTATGTTGTAACTAGCATAGTGCACAATAATCGAGTGTCTATAAACTTTATATGGGAATTAGCTGTATAAAAATATGTAAACCTATTTTTTAGATTATTATGCTGTACGAATTAAAGGAAAAAATAAAAAGGTACTTTTTGTATCTTCCACAATAATATTCAGCGTGTAATACACTTAGGTGATAATATTTACTTTTTTTCTTTAAACAATTGTGACAAAAAAAAAAAAAAAAAAAGAAGAGTACCAAATTAAATTAAATCCGTAACATATTTGTCGCGAAGTGGAACATGTAAATTAACTAATTGAAAGATAAGGGTCTTCATCGAAACTGCAAAACAGTCATAAAAAAAAAAGAGAGAAGGAAAGCCTTTTTTATATAAAAAGTAATTAAAATTAATAGACTTATTAATCTGAAGGTAGAGGGTGAATACTTTTACGTGAAAGTGTGTATTTTTTCTTATTAATATTATGTTTTTTTTTTGTTTACAGTTATTAATTGGTAAGCATTTAATTGATTAGGAACATATGTGGTGAGAAAATTTCATATAATAAACATAAGTGTAATCACTTGTGTTTTAAGGATTTTTTTATTATGCAATATATGAGCTACCTGCTATGCAATCATATGTACCATTTGAAAGAACAACGTGTTGCATTTATTTCTAAACTCCTGTACTTATATGAACGATGCAGAACCATTTGTTTAGCCATAGTGTAACATATTCCGCAGGAACTTTATTGTAAGGCACTGACGTGTTAAGCCTGTTTACCAGTAACCTCATGCGTAACTGTTGGATTAGCTTTCCTAGGTCAAATGTAAAAACATCATAAGGACGCATTGCTATATTAAATGTGTACAGAATCGTAAGGCTATAATGATCTAATATTTTATTTTAGGAAGAAATGATAAACGCATGAAATATCCTTAAATCAGTGGGTTACATATTAATTAAATTATTTCTGCCTATATTGTACTCGCGTGATATACAGATAGATTAAGGATAATTTGTTACACCATTTTAAAGGATGTGCAGTTTGTTTATGTTTATTTATTGATGCCTCAGCTAATACATATTTTTTTAGTTTTTTCGTGAATCTGAAAAAGTAGGACCATTTTGGGGGCTCATACAAATAGTAGTTATTTTGTACCTCTTTATATTTCTATAAGGGTTCTATAGAAACGTGAAGACTAATTTGGACATTACAACCTAATATTAAAAATACTTTTATATTTAAAACATTTGTCTTCATGCGCAGGAGAATATTATTAGCCGAGTGTTTTTTTTTTTCCAATTCACTTATTATATATGCATAAATATATGTATATGAATTTTACTGATTAATAATTGTTTTGATTGAAGAGAACACCCATAATTTTTTGCGCTTATTGATGGAAAATGCAGACACAGCTAAATTATATTCAATTTCGATATCTTCTTGTGGAAGGTTAAAAATTAATTAGACTAAACAAATATGATCTAACTAAAACATATAGTTTTGGAACAAAATGTACTGTTCATATAAATTTTATGGCGGTGGAAACGTTTAGAAATAAATGCATCATAAGGTATTGGAGGAGTTACAGTTATTACGAATGAGGAAAGTTAATGTTTTTCCTTTCCTGATTTTATAACCCTTTATATATTCATAATGACAGTGAAATATGGGAAGGCACGTTCACCTAAGTTATGAATTAAATTGTAGAAGCGTTTTTAGGGAACAATGAAAAAGGAGTTTATAAATATGCTATAGGGATACATAATGTGTAAATGGTTTGTTATTATCAGTTAGGTATTCATTTATGTAATAAGGAAACGGAACTGTTTGTATAATGGACGTTTACGAAACGGGTGCATGATTTGTTCTTAGAACATTATAACTATAAGCAGAAACGTTTTTCCTTTTTTTTTTTTTTTTATAGAAGTAGAGTTATCTTTATATGGGACGCAAAGTATTAGTATCTATAAAGGAATTTATTTGTAAGCGAAAACACACTCACTGTTAGACAAAGCTTGTATTCATTTTTTCTGTTCTTTGAATGATGTAAGCATGAAGTAACAATATTTCGTTTTATTTCTACTTCTTATATAAGCGTTATTCCCTCCCTTTTTTCTATATAACTATAAACAAGTGCATAATTTCACAATGTTCGCCGTTTTGCTAGAACAATTTTTACGTAGTAGAACCCAAATGCAAATATGTGGTATAAATATTGAATTATATAGAGTCTGCTAACATATTAGGGAGTTATCTGCATTTGGTGTATTCGTATATAGTGCTAACCAACTAGCTTTAAAATGCTTCTAAAAACATTTATCATTGTGGAATAGTAATATTTAGTGTAATATTTTCGTTAAAATATTTAGTTTGGGGTAACCTATTAGAAGAAACATTGTAAATATATTTTTAGATGCTGGAATATTTTAATACATTAATTATACTTTCTGCTTATTACTATTTTTATGGTTAAATTGAAATGTTTAACAATTACGCAAAAACTGTAAAACAGGAATGAATGATTGATGTGATAACTTGTTTTTTAAGTATATATATTTTTTTTCTTCTTTTCGATTTTGCATTTCTCTGGCATTTTTTTTTTTGTTTTTTACCTAAAAATCTTTGAGTTATATTTTGTTATAAGAAGAAAATAAGAAGCTTTATTTGTTATTTATTTGCATAAAAACTGTGCACAGATAAATGTTAGTTGTGGCTTTCAAAATTACGTCCATAATATTATTTAATTCTTTTGTTAAGTTAAAATATCCCATATGTTTTTTAACCTGAGCGCTCTATGCAAATAAATATATATATATAACATAATAGCATGTATAATAAAAGATAGTTATAAAATGATTTTATGGCCGCCGTAAATTTCTATGAGATTGGGTGGTGCGCAATAAAAAACATATGCTTATTCTATAGCCATAAACGGGTTAAAACTATTAGCTGCTCGTACAATATTATTTTTATATACGTGATACTGTAATTATGTTTTATTAAATAAAGTAGGACGCAAGTGGCGGTAAAACGTGAAAGCTAGTGAACGAATAATGATAAATAATGCATTTATTAAAATTTAAAATTAATCCTTTGCATATGTAGCCACAATCATTTAAGGCAAAACCAATGGTGATTTTTTAAATTTCTTGCAGGATTGCGGTTATTGTTTTTCTAGGTTTATTCTATTTTTTTTTTTTTTTTTTTCTCTTTTCTTTTTTCTTTCATTATATTAATTTTAATTTCAACATTTTTGAAGGCAAAATTCATTGTATTTTTTCTTTATTTAAGGTTCCCAAAATTGTAAGAACAAGGAATTTTGTAATTATTATTATTGTCTGTTAAAATATTAATATGTTTTAGAGAGTTACATATTTCTATATATAATTGAAAGAATTATACCATATTGTTATTAAATCAGTTTATGTTCTTTCATTCCTGTCTGCATCATTCCCATTTGTTCAACACTTCTGCATACGCGGTATTATAATAAAGCAGAACATGTTATAAAAGGAGTCATAATTCTACTACGTGTATTTATATTTATTTATTCATGTGCTTATTTATATCTTTTTATTTAAAACACGGAGTATATCTGTTGAATTAATATAAAGGAAAGTGTGAGTAGACAACTTGTACTACTCAGAAAATGGAAACCCCCCAAAATTGCCCAAGGAGCAGAAAAATGACGGTGTCTAATTTTTTCGTTAAAATTTTTGTTTTTACTTTATTAATTTGGACGCTATGTGGTTCCAATAGAGACGTAAGATGATTGAAATACGTGATATCTTCAATTTCGTGTTCTTTCATGTCTTTTGAGTAATATTAACACATGTCCATGATAAGCATATTTATCCGCAGTCGTAAGCTTATGCACGCGAATATGAAAATGTACATATATATATGTATGTGTGTATTTTTATATTTGTTTAGAATATCGGTGAAGGCTATTCTTATGAGAGTAAGCACGGAAAAGCGTTACATGTGGGACATGGACGAATATTAACTGAAGTTGCAGGCAGTGGAATACATTTCGATTACCACAATAAAAGCGTAAATTTGTCGAATAGTGTGGACAACGGAAAAACTGGAATTGGTAATGAAGCATCCTCTGGAAGTACGTATCAACCGATGGATGAACAAGTTGCAGAAGGTGCGAAACATCTTAGAAGCACAATAAATAATGTTAATGACACTAAAAGTAAATCTAACAAAACAAAAAGAGATGATATGCCGTTGACTCCTTTATTTTTTGCGAAATTGTTATTGAACGAACCAGAAAAGGGACTTGATATAATAATGCTTTATGCAGGAGGATTTCTAAAATATGGCCGTAATCGTTGTTGTTAAATGCAATATATATAATGTATAGTCACCAACCGAATGTCATTCTGTGAGAGTGATAACGTGGATTGAGTGTGGAATAAAAATAACTTTATACGTTATTATGTTCTGCAGGAGTGTCTTATTATTGTAAAGGCTTAAATGTAATATGCACACCCGGCTTCGTGTTATAAAGTTATACGTAACATGAATATTATTAATACTTTCTAGATGTTTTTGTTATTCTTTTTGGGTTATTTTTATCTATGCATATAGTTGCAATGTTTAAATTATTTGTATGTAATGATTTGTACAATTTTGAATGTGTTTTTTTTTTTTTTTTTTTTTGTTTTTCTCTTATTTCGTTCATGTGTAGATATGAATGCATATTTAGGTGCACATATGCCGGGATACGCATAAATATATATAATGAATTATTCGTATTATATATTATAGATTTGTACACACGAATTATTTAACTACCTGTTTGCTGGTTTTGCGTAGACTCTTTTGTTTTAACATGGAATAGTAAAAATGGAAGAGAAATTCGGCGCGCAGTTTTGAATCATTTGATGCTTCTTTAATGTACGTTTTATTAAAATTAATTTCGTTGTATAAGTCAATTAGAAAAGAGGTGATCCGTACATCTTGCGTGTGACCCCTTATTTATTTTAACGAAATGATCACTCATGAGCTACGTTATAAAGGAGTGGATAATATACAACCGAATTTTAGTGAACTTATTGTAGCACTTTTTTTGCAGTCGCAAAATATGTATTTCGTGGTGTAACAACAAAATACTGTATGGCGCGGGCATTATACACATGTGCTTTTTTATTCTACTCGTGTTTCATAGACCTCATTTTTTAATGTGAAGAATTTTAAATACTATTAACACAATTGGAAAACTTGCGGATGTGTTATTATGAGGTGCTAATCCGTTTTCATTTAAAAAAAAAAAAAACAGTCACAAAATACAGCGTATAATACCATGATTTTTAGTAGCATTGGGACTAGAAGGTGACTGAATTCAGGAGGTTTGTACACATTGAAGGGGTTTATGAAAATATTTTTTCTCTTGAAAAATGAGCTATATTTTAGGTATATATTACATGTATACATTGTTGTAGTATGTTACGTTGTATGCACTATATATACAGGTACATACATATGTGCAAATGTGGCCTTTGTTAAGTTATTATGCTTTTAAAAGCAGGTTCTCCATTCTAATTAACTTTGTATATGGAAGGATATTGCTTACAACATAACCTTTGACTATATTTTTATCTTAATATGGCATAGTAGGACATTTTTGGTAACTTCAGGAAGGAAGATGCCTAGTTTTGTCAATTTTCTTTTTCTATACATACTTATGTTTACATTTTTTTGCAGAATTTTAACAAAGATAAGGTTATAATTTGAAGAGTGTAGGCGAAAATGCGTGTACGGTGTGTTTCTTCCTACATACAATAATAAAAAAATGGTAGTGAACAAGGTGTACACGTTTTACGGATGAATTGTTTTGTTAAAATTTCATTATAGATTCATAAATTGAATGATAGAATGGAACAGCAAATGTGTGCTATGGCGAACGAAATTAAGGGAATAATTGAAATTTAACTAATCTGTAGAGATTTTTTAGTAAATAAATAAATATATATATTACTCTTAAAAGGATAAGGTTCCTACAAATCGTATTAATTTTTACGATACAAAAAGATTTAGCAATATGACGCGTCGTAACAACCTTTTAGGTATTAATTCAGAATAATTTAAGGTAGTTGAAACATAGCCCTTATCCTATTAGTTAATTATGTTATATTATATTCTGATTTTAACACATTGAACCATTTATTATTAAATCGATCGATCCTTGTTATGTTTTTTATTTGCACTTCATTTTGCATATTCCCAATAGATTTTATAACTGTTAGCGAAAAGTTACACATGGCAGTGAATTGAGTGGTATGCATCATTATGTTCATTCAAAATACATAAAATAAAAAAGTAGCACTAATTAATTATATATGTAAATAAAATCATGCAAGAATTTTTAAGAGTGAATATTTATTAAGTAGTGCAAAACTCAGAAAAACAAATTATAAGCTATATTACGAATAATGGGAAATATAAAAGTTGCAGTATATCACAGTCAGATTAGGTTAATTTTTTCTCGTTTCTTTTCTTTTCTTTGTTAATATACATTAGATATAGATTACTGTATATTTATGTAAATAATTGTTTGCACTTTTTTAAGTTTATTACAATAGTATGCGCATGTGTAACATAATTAATCCTTTTTAGGTGCATATGCAAAATGCACAAGGGGAAGAAAACATGATGGAATTTATTTTTAAGCTAAAGATAAAAAATGAAGTTTTTCAGAATAAAATGGTATATTTGCTGCATAAAATATTGGAATTCCTTTTATCAAAGGAATGTAATAGTAATAATTTAACATTTTTTCTTTTATTTATTTGTATAATATTTACCATGAAGCACTAAGAAATGTAATATATATATTTTTTTTTTTTTTTGGTGATATACGAAGTATAAATTGTTGCCAGAGTGTTTACTGTGTGAAACGATTAGAATTGTTACAATTCTAAACATTTAGGGAATGATAGTAATACTTGGTTTTATTGAACATAATAAAGGATAAATGGACTATGGTAATATGTTTTTTGAAGAAGTTATATATGTGCATCGTATTAATAAATTGATTCGCTTTACTAAGTAACGATTTTTGTTGTTCCTTGTTAAGCTTTAGATTTACATTTCATTAAGTGATTATTTCTCTTAACGCGTTGATTGCCAATAAATGTAAATTTAGAGTATATTTTTCGAGAAACCATAATACCTATATATGTATATATAGGTACGTATGTACATACATATATATATTTTTGTGTAGAACATTTTAAATGTGCATACGTTAACGAGTACTATTACGTATCATATCATATATATTGAAACAAAAATAATTCCAATAATAAGAATTTTCACACATATATTAATATTTTGAGTAGGGGAAATGCTGAAAATAAATATTTTGTGTTTTTTTTGGTGTACTACTTTTACGGTGTATTTGGCCGCTATTATTTTTTTAGTGCTACTGGTAAGACGAATAATATGTGTGCAGATGACAATATATTTTTACGTTACATATTTGTGTGAATACAACTTCTGTTAACATTATTTAAATTTTTTTTCTATTTTTCCGTAGAATGTATTTCCATTTAGTGGAATGGACGTTTCACAGACACAAATAAGTAATCGGTATTTAAGCCATTTGTGCAAAAATAATAATTGTAGATATAATGCTTTAAAGAATAAAAATGACCAAACGAATTCAATTGCTTCAAAAGTTAATTCATGTTGTGGAAGGCAAAACAAGTGCATAGGAATGTATTGTGACACAAATAAGGACAAAAATGCACCAGTAACAATGAATTCGGTTGATGTAGCTATAATGCGCAAGAAATGTTTTAAAGAACACAGACATTTAACGGAGGAAGAGTTGTATCATTTAGTAAATACATTGGAACGTGTCCCATATAAGTGTGACATGAATAGTATATGGTGGCAACTGCGTTATATTGAAGCATGTAAATTTGATAATATAGAGGAGAGATTATCAAAGCATTTAAATGTGCTGGCAAAAAAATATAAGGCAGATGATGCTTTTTTAGAAGATAAATTGGAATATTATTCTTATATTATATATAGAAGAAAGAAAGAACATGAAGTTTTTTATAATATGCGTTTTTATGCTCTACTTGATCGCGAATCTTTTGAACTGAAGGAATTTATAGACATTATCAATGAGAGCCGGGACGCAATTAGCAAATTTGGAAATGAGTTGATGAGCACAAGTGAATCATTGTTTAAAGAAAAGGGGAAAGAAAGAAATGTTATAATTGAAAAAATTATGAACTCATATTTTGGTAATGACTAACATTAAAAAAGGGGAAAGATCTGTGCTGCAGGAGTATAATATATCAGTAGTGGCAAAATGGAGAATGCACTAATGCATGCCGATTAGAAAATGAAAAAATGAAATAAATAATCAGTGAACCATTTGTAACTGCATTATTCAGAATGAGGTGCGAAGCATATGAATGGGTAATATATTAAAAACTTAGGCTACTTAGGGGAACATTCAAGGTGGGATGTGAAAAATGGATTTTTTAGTAAAAAGTAAAAAACAAGTGAATAAGTGAATGAGAACCTTGTTCAGGCACAGAATAATATTTTCGTTGTATTTTATTTTAGTTCACGTTTTTTTAAATGTGTAATGATTATCTGATATAAATATGATCTATGTTAATCTTATTTATTTTTTTTTTTATTCTACTTACACCTTTCTTATTTTGTTTAGTTCATTTAAAATTTACCGCTTTATTTATATAGATGTCCTAATAAAGTGTTTTTATAGATAATTAAATGTGTATGCTTACTTATGTAAGTGCACACGTACGTATGTAAACGTTTCCGCTTAAATAACCGTTGCATCAATATGTAGCGTTCCGATGTGCACTTATTGGTCGTTATATATATAATGTGAAAATTGCGTATGGACATTTTTGTACCGATTGTTCATATTTGACGGTTTGATTCATAACCTTTGCCCCTCGCTACGCACTTACAGTCTTATTTAGATATGAACATATGTAAAATGAATATACATTCAATTAAGCCTTATATATAGTAAGAATGTAGCAACTGAACTTTATCATTAGAAATGACAATTATGACTGTGTGTTAGGGGTCGTCTGCATATTTGTACTATAAGTGAGCTTAATATTTCGGATTGCATATTTTTGACAGTTAAAAATGTGGTCTTCTGTATAAACGTATCATCCGAATTGTACAATGCATTTATGAACAACACTGGCATAGTATGTGAAGAAAATTTGAGTTGTGAATATAACTGAGTTTTATTCTCACTAAATGAGTGCATATGGCCTATTGTACAGTTACACTACAGTCCACAATATACGTCCTTAGCGAAAAAATCCTATCTGCTGCATCTTCAATATTTCTTTAACAACAACATCGATCAGGTCTTATGTGTTTGTTATGACTGTGACGTTCTAATTTGGCTGATAATATGGAAAGGCCACATATAATTCAAATTCATCTATGTTTTTAAAAGCAAGCTAAGCAGTGTCATGCGATTAAACTGAATTTTCCCTGACTCAACTTGTGAGTGTGAGAATAAAGTGAAGGCAGAATTAATGCATACTATTTAATTAGTTCTTAAGCAGTGAACCACTAATATATATATACATATTTAGAGAACAAAAGAGAAGGCGTGTATCAATACATGCTCACGTTGGAGGATAAAAGGGCTAAGTCCTTTAAGACCAGTTCAATCTTATGGGCGCTCATGGCACGCACAGGGATAGTATGGATGAGCAAGGTTTCACAGGGGCGGCGCGCATGGTCATGAAATACCCCATCGTTTATTTTCTTATAATGGGAAACAGAAGAAGCGAGACAAAGAGAAAAGAACGAATACCAAGGGAGAAATACGAAAGCAAAGGGAGGAGGCGGAGGAAGGCAAGCGAAAGAACGACAAAAAAGAGGCATACGGGAAAGGAGGGAAAGCAGGGAAAGTGAAGGAACACAAGCAGAGGGTGCTAGTTTTGTCTGTTTTTGCACACGAAGAGGAATGCTATATTGTCTAGCTGTTGGCAGGTCCACTGCTACCGTGATCAATCGTTGATTCTGCGTTTAAGTCGGCAGAACTAGATTCAGGTGTGCGCGTAGCGAAGTGGGACTATGTGACACCCTCCTATTGTAGTTGTTAATTCCCAGAAGTCGTACACGGGGGCGTGCGCTCAGCTGCATGTGCAACAAAGTTAAGAATTGTCATATTTTTTCTGGTCGCCATGACCGTAAGGAATGAAGAATTATTGTTCCTTCATTATGTCTTGTTATTATGCTAACGATCGGGTTTCAGGTGGAGTGTGCGCCAGGCCATTTACAGGAGATGGGTAACAACTAGGTGTACTAATACACCTTTATATGGTTGCTGTTTGGTAAAAAACGGACACAGTTGCACGAATAAATGGGCCATGGCAAATAGGTGTAATCACAAATAGGTGCAACCACAAATAGGTTTAATCACAAAGAAGTGTAATTACAAATAAGTTTTAATCACAAACAAGTGTAATTGCAAATAGGTGTGATTACAAATAGGTGTAATCATAAATAAGTGTAATTACAAATAGGTGTAATCACAAACAAGTGTAATCGCAAGTAGGTGTAAACATAAATAGGTGCAATAGAGAATAGGAGAATGACAAATAGGTCATCACAAGTGTTCAGACACTACCATGCTGAGTTGGCATTCAGCTGAGTGAGAACTGCAATACCTCAAAAACTCACTAAGGCCGCTCAACAAACGGGAAAGCCAAGTATGTCGTAGGCGTACTTGGCATGTAATTATAGAAAAGGAGCGCAGAAACCCAAAAAGGGGGGCACTTCCCCCCGTATTAATTTTTTCCTCCTTTCTTCCTACTACGGCCTTCTATTTCCCCTGAGTACTGCGTTTTCCATTTGGTCCTGCATTGTACCTCTTGACTCTCTCGGTTAAAATATTCATCCACTTGTCCTTGTTTCGCATAATATATTCTTGTACTGTTGCGTTAAAACGGACTACTATATCTTCAAATGATACGGCCCACATATATATTGCTCTCTTTGTATCAAAAATGTCGCTAAAGGAATCTTCATATTTCTTTTGAATGAAGTCCAAATCAAGCATAAGTTCCGCTTTGCATACTTCCCACCACTTTAACCTGTACTTATCAGGCAAATTATTGGCTTCAGCGAAGTCGAAAAACCACTTCTTCAGATAGTCTACCATGGCTAAGTACTTCCTTTCTGAATGGACTCCATGGTAAAAATATAAAGCAAGTGCCTTATTTTTATGAATCCAGAAAAGATATGTATACGCAATGTTCAATGTTTGATTGTACGTCATATTCTTCGGAAGGTCATGGATGGTGCAACCGCGTGGAAGCTTTCTTTGATACTTTTCCAGGGCATGTTTCCTCCAGTAGGACACAGTTGGCACGGACTGTTGCATCGCGTGTACTGCAGAGCTTCGTTGCGAAGAGTCTTCATTGCGTTCCTGGGGATTGGACTCCTTATCCTTGTCCCTGTCCGACGAGTCAAGCTGCGGCTCCTCGGGGTCGCTACAAATTTCTTGTTCCTCCGGTTGGCTGTACCATTCAGGGTTCAGTTCACGCATCATATCATCAATCCAATTATCATATTGCTCCTCTTCCCAGTTGCTTTGCTGCATAACGGGCCAGCTATAATATCTGTACTTCTCATCGGGCCCGCTGTGGATCTGGCACTGCACGCAAGTATCCATTGCGGGCATCTCCTCTTCTGAGTACCACGCCTCGTCTATACCATTGTAGCCATTTTCGGGAGGGTAATAATTTTCGAGGATGTACTCGTCATCGTTGAATGTATAAGCATCATAAAGAAGGGATTCCTCGGACAAACTCCGTGCATACCTGGACAGGTGTGTAGTTGCGGACGCTGTGATCCTCCTTGCCACTTGTATACTCTACACGGAAGAAGAATAACATGACATAGGGATAAAGGGAAATAAAATAGAATAAAGTAAAATATAGTAAAGTAGAATGAAATAATGAAGGCTAAGTTGTGCAATGGTAACATTTAGTGAAGGATGCCAGGAACGGGAAGCAAGTAAAGAGCATGTGTGATGATAAATATATACAAAGGGACAAATTGTACTCTCATATGCTGGCGCAGTTATGATAAAAAAAAAAAAAAGAAAAAAGAAAAAAAATTTCGTTTAATATTATATTCACATAAACCTTAAAATAATCACAATTCCCGAAAATGTAATTTATAAATTATATACGTATACAGAGCATTCTTTTTATATATTAAGGATTTAGCTCACCTCCGAAGCATGGATTAGAAGAATAGCAAAGGATAATATACGTATGATTCTTGATAAGGACGAAGCCATAGTTATAGCTTTACGTTTTATATAATATAACGTTGCTGCTAATGTAGTAATTTCTCTGAATTTAAGGAAAGAACAAAAAAGGGAAGAGCACTCTTCTATTAGATCATATAATTATATTTCTTCGTATGTTCGCTTTTCATCCTTTTTTTAAATTATTTAATGAAAGGAACAGGGGGAACCCCCTTTTAAACCCTTTTTTTTTTATATTTAAATTGATAAGAAGAAAAGTATTTTCCCCTTCCACTGCAAGTATAAGTATAATGAGTAATATTCAGGCACTCATATATATCATTAGTACATAAAATTCTCCATGTTGTATTTGTGCACTGTGTAAAATAATTAAAAGGGAAAACGGAAAGAATTAAGAAAAAAAGATATTGTATTTTTGACACAGTAAAAAAATATAGAATAGTAGAATAACAAAAAGGGAACATTATGAAATAATAAAGGAACACATAGGCGCTGTAGATATTTTTCTATATATAAATATATGTACAGCGTTTTATCCTAAGGGAATGGAAAAAAGCGGAGAGGTTGATTGAAATAATTTTTCATTTATTTTGCATTAAAAGAACTGGAATAATATAGAATTAGAGTAATTTATAAATATCAGAATTTTAAACAAATTCTGAGCACATAGTATTGCAAAATAAGTAACGCCACAAGCGTTGTAAATTTATTTACACTAAAAAAAAAGAAGTATGTTTTCATTAAATAATGCATTTATCCCTAATAGGAAAAAAGTGTTAAGCCATTTATAAATTATAATTGTAAGAGTTATGTGGTTTTAGGTTTAGGTTTTGAATGATTCTGGTTTAATGTTTTTCTTTTAACAGTATGTCATTATATATACAGAAGCGTATGCATCTCACGCTATTATGGTATGTATACAGTTTTCGTACACTAATATTTTTTGATACATACTATGTGCCTTAATGGTTCTAAATTAATGTTCGCGGGTTGCTGACTGTATGCACACATGTAGAAACATTTTTCTTGTGCATATACTGCATAGAACAATGAAGTCCTAGTGGGGACATATAAAGGTTGTGTGAACTTTTTGTACTTTTATAACACACAAAGGGTATCCTATATGCTAGCATTATTTTCCTTAACCATTGTTTAAAATAAAATTCCTAATTTATCCTATTTCTGAGAGAAAAAATTAGAGGCAGCACAATTTATTCCATCAGGGGACATTAAATTAATACCATTCATATGGAATGAATCGTCCTTTTTTTTATGTCATGCCCATAAGGATTCGCATAAAGTAACACATTCAGCGCACTGTACACCCTAAACCCCAAATCTGGGACCTGTACACTTCACACCGTTCAAGCCTGCACCCCCGGTTTCCCCAGGAAACGTAAATCTGGAACATTAAAACTTGAATCTTAAAACCTGAAACCTGGAGATTGAACGGCGAATGTGGAACCCTGTATCCTAAACCCGGAATCCGGGACTCCTGTAGTTCGGAACCCCAAACCTCAGAACCTTTAAATTCCTGAACTGGAGAACCCCTAAATTCTAAACGAACATCTGAAACCCTGAATCCTGTAGCAGGTATTTATGTTGCTATAGCGGGTGTAGCTCCTTTTTTAACAGATGCCGCTGGAGGTGGGCATGGAATAATATATGCTGCCGCAGTAGATACTGCTACAACGCATGACGCCATAACACGTCCCCTCATAATGAATAGTCCCATTATCGTGTCAGTTACTTTTGTACTGGGTACTGTCACACCAAGTGTGGGTGTTGCACTGCACATGGTTTCAGTAACTGAAAGAGTTGTAAACCGGGCAGTAAAATTCTTGGAGTTCCCAAAAAATACAACAGGTATTTCCACATACTATAGAAATACTCACTATACATATCGCGTTCATGGTAATCATTATATATTACATATGGCACACAAAACATACGTATACATTATATACATATAAAAGTGAAGTAGGACATACTCTTTTGTTCTCTCTAAATTTTGTTTTCTGCCTTGTAACACGCATGAACAACTCATTATATCAACAAACAGTACAACATATGCATACAAACTATGTATATTCGAAAAAGTGTACGAACAAAAATTATAATGGAGAAAACGAAACAATATATAGGAAAATGCCAAAAAACCGTGAATGCACTCTATCATACAAATAGTACAGCATGTCATACAATGATGGTCGGTCTAATAGATATATAATATTATACCACAATATTGAAGTTGATTACCAACAGTAGAATAATGAAGGTATTTACGATTATGCTGACACGGTTGGTTTGTTAGGTGCGTCCTACTTCTCCGGTATCTCGGGTTTTTTAGGTGTTTCCGGTTTCTGTGATACTTCCGGTTTCTTAGGTTCTTTCGGTTTCTCGGACTCTCCTGTCTTTTTAGGTGCTTCCTGCTTCTCAGATACCTCTGGTTTCTTAGGTGCTTCCGGGCTCTTAGGTGTTTCCGGTTTTTCGGGTAGTTGAGGCTTCTGATCCTCCTTTGATAAAATTTTGTCTGTCAAAGGTTTCTTCTGGACTTTTGCTTTTCCCCTTCGGTAGTAGAAACGAATTAGCATGATCAGGAGCATGAGTCCTATGCTTCCCGTAACTGCACCCAAGGATATGCCAACAGCCCCCGATGTGCCTGTGTACTTGAGCTTACCTATTAAGCCACTGTGCATGCACAACATTGCTGCATAGAATCCAAGTATAGCCAAAGTGGGCGGGATCCACCATTTATTCCTGCATATAGTTCGCGCTAGTGTACTACAAAGTCCCCTGGGTATCTCGGGCGTGTTTTCAACTTGTTCCTTCTTTTCTGAAGCTACTAATAACCCCTGTGATCCAACCTTAGCATCTGGTTTTCCCGACTTCCCATCCGTCGCAGTTGTTTTCACTGGGCCTCCGCTAGAACTAACGGGACCTTTATTCTGTTCTGGTGTTTGCTTATCCGTTCCACTCTTCACTGTAGTTTCTTTTGGCTTCTTTTCCTTGTTTTCACTTTGTACTTCATTCTGTGAGGATGGTGGCAAGGAGCCTGCTTCACCAACCTTCGATTTTGGTTTACCGGACTTGCCTGGCTTTTGCCCCGATGCGACTTTTTTATCTTGACCCTTACCAGGACTGGTTAGTAATGTATTATTTGGTGGTGGTGCTTGCATATCCAATTCAACCGTGAGCAATCTACTGATCCTGACGCCGACAGTGTCATTTTGCTTCGCCGTATGGTTCCATGATGTGCCGAATTCATTTACCTACCATATAGGAAAAAACGGGGGAAGGATGTATTTGAAGCGTTATACAATGAACAAGTATTCAGATAAAATAAAGAAAGGAATAGAACTTTTGAACTGTTAGGAGCACGAATAACATCATAATCATAAATGAGGATGCCCATTGTACGCAAGCGTTAATTATTGTGTCGTACGTTTTCGGGATATTGCCAGGAGTATAATATAAAGCTGAATATGGAAAGTTGCACAGGGAACATCATTTTGTTTGTTTTTTGGTTTTCTTTTGCTTTTAACAAAGGGGAGGTTAAGAATAGCGATATATCGTTTTTTTCTGGTGTATATATGTGCAGATTATGCAGTTCTTTTTTTTTTTTGTACACAGCATAGGCCAATTAAACCGTTTGTGTATGCGATTTATTATTCTCTGTTGTAAGTATTCAGATGTATAATTTAAATGAAAAATTAATATTAAAGGCAGTATATATTAGAAATGTGGTAATGCTAAAAAAATGAAATAAACATATATTGCCTATACATGTGATATTATTTACAATTAATTAGGGCTGTCGGTGTGTTGAGAAAAACTATTACCTACTTTTCAAATATATCTAGTTGCTAATGGTGGAATAAATGGAAATTATGTATTTTTGAAAAGTAAAAGTTCTTTGTATGCACAAACATTTTGTTGTTTTAATGTGGATATAATGGTGGGAAATTTATTTTAAGAAGAATTAGATTATTTGCATTATTAGAACAGTAGAATTTTTTAGGGTTTAGGGGTTTTTAGGTTCACGATAAATATTTTCCTGTATTAAGAACGACAGGATATTATGTGACATATTTCTTAATGAAATATTCATCATGAAATGTAGTAACTTGGAGGCCATTTCAAGTGGTAGAAAATGGTGTTACAGAGAGTATGAAAATTGGAAATATCCAAATAAGGAATATACATATTAAGCATATGAATGTAGAACGAATGAATGTAGAAAATATGCATGTGAAAAAAATACATGCAAGGAATACGTATATGGAAGGTAGGAAATTGGAGAATATGAATGTAACAAATATTACTATGAAAGGTACAGAATGTAATTCTGGGGAGAATACTCCCCTGGAATATTTATAATAAGTTTCCTACAATAAGGGACGAAGCATAGGAAGAATATACATAGTTACTATTGTTTTTTTTTTCCTTTCCATATGCTATATTATGCTTATATCGATTCATCAACTTGTATATACGGAACCGTGAAAATTGTTACTGGGATGCCACCTTCCTTTTGATACTGTACAATGAATATCTGCTTTTTACTCTGTTTATTTCCGAAGGTTCTATGTTACGGAATCAGTATGTTTTTTTAAGTTGTCATGAATATATTATTTTTGCAGGGAAAAGGTTTTTTTCTTTACAAAATGACAAAATAAAAAAAAAGGAGATAAACACGCCACTGCCTGTTTAGAAAAAGGTTATTTTCAGGACATGTATAATAATTTTAGGAAAGGGGAAATATCGGACTTCATGGTATACAGGTGGGTACACTGTAATTTTTCCCATACTTGCACTTTATTACAGGTGTTCTATATTTATACAACCATATTAAGAAGCGCATAATTACAATATGTAAAATGTATTGTACACTTGTAGAATCTGCTTCGTTTGTTTCAGTATTAGTATTGAATAACAATTGACACGTAGAACTTCTATTTCCTTACCCTCAGCTTAACCCTACGCTGCATTGCGTTTCCGTTAAAACTTAAGATTTAAATAAATGATCAAAGTTACACTGCTATTTCGTTGCTCTGTTTCCCTGTTTTTCCTTTTCTTTTTCCACACTGTAATAATAAATAAAATAGAGGACAATTCGTGATGTTCAGTCCTGTTCGGCTATGTGGTTTAGAAGGAGGAAGGAAACGACACCTCCTACACTCCATTCCTTTAACATATGAATGGGGAAGAAATTTCTCCTTTTAAGAAAAATGGACGACGGAATATATACGGAAGAATGGAAGGATACTTTTAAGACATCCGAACGACCATCATAAGTAATAAGGACGAATAGAATAAATAGCAGGTATATATGGTGCCTCTATATCAGGAAACGATTAGAATTGGCGGAAAAATGCGTCGAATGCCGTACACACTATTCCACGTTGTGTTTATTCTGGGTTACCCAAGTAACCACTGCAAGGTACCACTCACGTTCCATTCAGAGCAGCACTGTTATGAGCAGGAGTTAGTATTTTGGAGCGCATATTTACTGTGCCTCTGTTCAAATGGTGGAGCGTGTAGGAGGGGAAAAAATGTGGGAGACGTCATTGTGCAGGGATTATGCGGAGGCCAGTTATACCGGAAGGGAAGAGTTCTCTGTCCACTGAAATGTGGTTGCGGGGTATCATATGCGCTACGTTTGGATTATATTGTAGAACCAGAATTTTTCACTGTGTGTAATATGTTCTTCTCTGTATCTTGGTCAAGTCTTATGGATGTTTACTGTCCTGTATATGCGGAGAATCGCAAAGGAATCCATCATTGCCATAGCATCCTGTGAGCACGTCACATGTGTACATTAGGGAAAGACGGACGTTATATAAAGGAAGGTAACACATAAACACAGTGGACATACACGCACTTGGGAAGATACAATAAATGCATTGGTCTAGGGAATACTATAAAGGGGTACGTGGGAAGTAGTAACAAGCGGTTATGATAATGTAAGCAGTATGTATTTAAATCGGGCAAAAACAAATTAGCACATTGAGTAACGAGCTATGACCTCATTGGCAGCTGCCGAGGTCCACTGTGTGTACATGTTGCGTGCGGACGTAAGGCTTGAAGTACACAGGGTGGGGTGATTATAAGTTCATATCAGCAGCAGGAATAATAGGAATGCGTATGAACGGAATTACTCAGTAAACTTTATATTTCATCGTTAAATTTTTGTGGCGCCCGTACAGAGTAACCAATTTCATATGTCACGGGGTCCTCAAATATCATGAGCTGCGGAAATGCATAAGCTTCAAATCATCAGGAGGCACATACACGGTTGCAGACACCTATCATACGTAGCGCGGAATTATATGCACACGGATGATTCCCAATTTCAGAAGTGAACTCGTGAGAAGTATATGGGACAAAATTGAATACAAGAAGAATTTGTTCTTTCGGAATAATTATTTTCAGCGCTGTAGCATAATATAAAGGCATACATGTTCCGCGCGGTGACGCCTAAATGCATTGCGCAAAAGTGTTGCCGCTTATTTAAATCTGGTGAATTTTCTCATGGTACATTTTATTCGTAACAGTACAAGCGCAACGCCCTACGTTTGTACAGAATGCGTAAGTACATGTGCTGTTGTGCGCCTGAACATGTAAATTCTTTTTTTCCTCAATTTTGTTAACACACACCGGTTAATTTTTTTCTGGGGGCTGCGGCAAATTCCAAGTTGTGCGCGCGTAATTTTGTCCAGGCATTCTTTGTTTTTACGTTATTTTATTATTATTTTATTTTTTTTCATTTGTACAAATATTTATTTTTTTTTTTTCGAACTTCAATTTGTTTTAGCGTTACGGCTAACTCAGCTCTTATGCTCTTTCTCTTTTCCTTTTTTTCTTTAAAACAAAATGAATTACACGCGCGATGTGTAAAACGAATGACTATGGAAAGTGTGCGTATAATCATGTAGTGGAAATCATAAAGGCACGATGATGTACATAAAGCGCGCATATGACTGAATTAAGTTTTAGGAGAATGGATTTCGCGATGGAATAGTATTATATGTGCTAAGGGAAGGATGAAAGGCTTTGCAAATGCAAACGAACAGTTTCCTTTATGGCTTCCCGTCACCCTTAATTATTAGTCAATTCCCAGAAAACCAGAAGGATGTAGTGTGCGGCACTCCGACATATTGCCGTTCCTGCCCCCGCTTTTCATTCCAGACGCAGGGTAAAACGCCAAAAGTTATTGATGAACGAAAAAAAAGCGGGTGCGGCGTAAACAATGCATTTTGTACGGCGAACGTCCCACGAACATGGCATTATGGCGCTGATGGTAGCAGTAGCTATAAGGTCCACATTGTTAACTATACATAATTTGCCCATGTGCAATACGGCGGACAAAGGGAACATCCATGGAGTTAGTTTTAGAAGCACGACGGGAGATGTTGATTCCCTGTAGTGTGTTCACTGGAAGGTGTGTGTGTCATACTTTTACATAAAAGGAAGAATTACGTTTCTAGAAGATTCGATTCACTTTTGCCGAAGAGTGCGGCCACTTCAAAAGAAGCGTGTATTTCCCCATATACAAAAATCAGAAACGAATCCCGTGGGACATTACGCGTCACACAGCACATATACGGGAAACACAGGATATAATGTATTATGTGTGCAAATGACACATGTCACCCTTCCGGTGAAGGACTTGTCGCATATATGGACTTTTACAATTTATAACATCCTCCATTTGTGTGCATATCAAAAGGTAGGGTGTTAAACCGTTTCATTTGGCAATGAGGAATTTTGTATACACAGCAGAATAATAAATCATACATACGCAAGGAAGAAGAAAGGGAAAAATGTTACATATTATAAGAATAGGCACTGTATGAGTTATTATATAATATATGTTACATGTATGATGTAAAGTATATGTGCGTTATATATATGAGAATGTATATGCGTACATATATATGTATTTATATAGGAAACATAAGGACGCATCCTTTTTTTTTTTTTTTTTCAAATGCTTTGTCCTTTGATCATGTCTATGGACAACTAATTACACAGAAACAAACAGCGTCATATACGCTCAAACTATATATATATATTAGAAAGATATAAATAAATTATAATTTAACGCATAATTCGGGCAAAAATATTACAAATATGAATAAGCCCTATCAAACAAATAGTACGGAGCATTATACAAATAGTCAATCTAATAAATATACATGATCATATAGTATCATTGAAATTGTCCACGGAAAGTTGAATACTGTTGTTACTTCTGAATTCTCACATAGTTCAGGCTTCCGGTTCCACTCGCGGAAGTTCATTCACTCAAAATATTATTCGACATGCCTGATATTTTCCTTCTGCAAAAGCGGAATAGGAGAACCGGAAGCATAATGGCTATTGTGCTCGCAACTGCAACAAGGAATATGATACATACAAATGGCTCCCAAAGTATCAAGTACAAATACAGTTCTATTATATTAAAAGCAGAGATGGCCGCAGTCACGGTGACAAGTTTTTCACGCGTAAGTAAAGTATGTGTCCATGCGCTAAAGAGTCGTCTGGGTTTCTTTGCTACTTCTTCAACTTGAACCTTGTTCTGTGATGCTGGTAATAATCCTTCCGATCCAACTTTGGAATTTGGTTTCCGATAGCTGTCCCTGTGTGCGGTGTTTTTAGGGCAACCTCTACTAGCACTGCTGGGAAGTTTATTATTTTGTCCTGGTGTTTGCATATGCGTTTTACACTTCAATGAGAATCCTTTGGATTTCTCCCTCGTTCCCTCACCTTGTGCTTTATTTCGTAAGTAAGATGAGAAACCCCGTGGTCCAACGTTGAGATCTAATTTTCTGAGCATTTTGCCCAAAGAGGTGTTCTCAAAAAACTCTCCACTATGTCTGCCGGACAATTCATGTCGTTGTCGTAATTTTTCTATGTAATACTGAACTTCCTCGTCGATATCAGCTGCCGTTATAATACAGGACCCTCTGTGTCTATTACGATATGTTGATGATTCTGTCATTCTGTTAATTCCTTCTTGATCATCGCTAATGTCATTTCGTCCTTCAAACAGACTCTCCACACTGCTGCAACTGGTGGATGTGTCAACTCCTTCCCCATCCTTAGAAATATCATCCCGTTCATTGGAAGGACTCTGCACACTGCAATAGTTAATGAATCTGTGAACTTCTTTTTCCTCATCATGACCAAAATAATTTAGGTCTAAGGACTCGTTTGATTTACTAACGTTATCACGATGGCCCATGTCTTTCAACTTTGTCTTTAAACTACCGCGTGGACTGTTATTTCTACAGCGTGAATTAGAGTTATTATTATATTTTTTTATATCTAAACAATTCTTAGAGAAGTTCCGGTATGACACGTCCCCTGCGTCCAGTCTTCTAGTGGTATCGTTCATCCAGGCATTGTATCGGTTAATTAATTCTTCGTATTCTGCATCTGTTAAACCCATTAATTTTTCCCTTAGTACAATATTATTCTGCTTCAGTGTTTCAATATCAGTTTTTTCGTACCCTTTCAATGATCTGCTAATCCTTATCCCTAAGTTGCGTCCTTGACCAGTTGTATGGTTCCATGATGTGCCGAATTCATTCGCCTAACATATAGAAAATACGGGAGCATGTATTTGAGCGTTTATACAATGCACAAGTATTCAGATAAAGGATAAGAACGAAGAAGTTTCTAATTTTTAACAACACAGAAAAAAGAGGGTAATCGGAATAAAAACAAGGTTGTTTTAGGGGATGCTTTAGGTATTATCATACATAGTACGGATCTTGCCGAAGGTACAGTATCAGGCTAAATATTAAAAATTTCGCGGAAGGTACCATGTTTTCCCTTTTTTTTTTTTTTATTCTTGATTTTAGCGAAGAGAAAGTTTCAGAATGACATTATATCTTTTTTTGTTCTTATATATACGCGTGTTTGAATTATACGTTTATTTTTTCCTTTTTTTTTGTTGTTCACGGCAGATTCTACTGGGAAACATTTGTGTATGAGATTTATGATTCAATGTTCTCAGTATTTATATTATATAAATAAAGTGAAAATTTAATGTACACAAGAATATATAATACGAAGGATATGATAATGCAGAATAATACAAACATTTGGTTTTTGTACATCTATGACTTAAAATTAATTCATGTGTTTGATGTTTTGTAAACATATGAAGTACAATTTTTAAGAATATTGCACTTTTGACGGTCCCGTGAAATGGAAATTATGTACTTTTGACAAAAATAAAAACTTTTATATATGCACGAGCATGTTGTTATTTTAATGTTGATATAATGATAGCGAAATTATTTAAAAGAAGAATTAGGCCATTTGTATAATGTATCACGACGGACATTTTTCCTAAGGAGGTTACGCTGTAGATTCAAGATTTTTTATACAGTGCGTCAGTGCTGTAAGCGGTATTTATTTAGAATATGTATGAGGAAGATTATATACTTATCGTAGTCGACATTCATAGGGTAGTTATTTATGGCGTTCGCAGATGTATTATGTAATGATAAATTATAAATATGAGAATATAGTTTAGAATTGTTTGTATATGTATATCTTTATCTCCACCTCCCTCTTTTTTGGAAAAGTTTGAATGGATTGAATTAAAAGTGCGAGGAGCATGTATAAGAATGAAGGGTATATGTAGGGTGATTTTGTATTATGAGGTTTAAGAGGTTTAGGATTCAGGGCTTCAGGTTACATGAATTTAAGGTTCAGGAATCCGGACAAAAGATTGCAGGGTTTAGGGTTCAGGGTTTAAGGCTTACGGTTTAATGGCCACAGTTTCGGAAGTGTATGAGTTGTATGGTTCTGGTTTCGAAGTGGAAGATCCGGATTTAAGATTTAAGTTTAGAGGTGTCAGTGTTGCCAAGAACTAGGTTTACAGGTTTTAGGATTGAGGGCTTTTTGTTTGTGTTGTTTTCCTCAATAATAAACTGTCATAATGACCACAGTATATGCATGTTAGTGAAGTATCACAAATATGTATGACGCTGTTGTGTACACATGTTAAATAATGTACCTTAGGAGTCCAACAATAGTTGCATTAAATGTACCATGTAGCGGCATGTCGCGACATACGTCCCTAATACTTTATTTTTTTTATTTTGTATTTCTTTTTGCTTTGTCGAATAGTGCAAATAGTGTAAAGTTGGTTGTTGTTCCTTTTGGGAACAGTGGAATGGCGAATGGCAACGGTTGTTGGTCCATGTTGCACTCGGTTATATTGGTGCGTTGTGTGTGTGTGCTTAGTGTGCCAAGGAAAAAGAGCAGGATAAGGGAAGTGACCGATGCAAAGAAGATAAGAACGGGGGTAGAAAGCAAGATGTCCGCAGGTGTTATGAATGGACTGATGGTGTTATCATGAGGGTCTGTATTAGGTCCCTTACCCTTTGTATCGTGGTAAACTAGTGGGGGTATACCTTCGACAAATGCACCTCCGACTTTACCAAGTACAGCAGAGCCAGGATTATTTAGGTCAAGTCCAAAGGGATCATCAGCAGTTTTATGTGTCTTATCATTACCGTCCGGGGAGGTGGAGGCAGAGGGAGCGCCCTGACCTGTGTCCTGACTGCCCGGTCCTGAGGAACCGGGGTTTGGGACACCTGTGGAGCCATCTCCTGTGGTACCCGGTTGCAGAGTCCCCGTAGAGCCAGTACCAGTAGAACCTGGACCTGAGGAACCAGGGTTTTGGTGGCCAGTGGAGCCAGGACCGGAGGAACCAGGGGGTTGGTGACCAGTGGAACCGGGACTAGATGAATCCTCTGTAGTGCTGCCGCCGCCGGGGCTGCTTCCCGCTTGATCTGGGTTCGGGTTCGGTTTTGGTTTGGGTGGATTGAGAGGAGGGGGGACATCGTTGCCGCCATTGTCGACGGTTTTACCGTCGTTGCCGGCTGCACCGGATGCACCCTGTGCACCGCCTGCGCCTGCTGCCCCAGCTGGACTAACTGGATCTGTGGGACCAGTTGAAGCAGGGGGATCAGCTTTATTAGTCACTGTAGTCTGATCCTCTGTACCACTACCTGTGGCGACGGCACCCTTACTATTTTGTTCACTGTCATCAGCCTTGGATTCAGCTTTCTCACCTGCATATTCGAACAAAGTGAACAGAAGAAAGTGATGGAAGTTAAGTTTTTCAGGTGGTTCGTCGCATGGTTGGTTCGTCGCCACCGTTTCACGGTCGGCACCATTGGTGCCACGGGGACGTCGGCAAGCGTTGGGGAGACGGTGGTAGGAGACGGACGGGGGTCAGGGCATTGCACGGGGCAAGGTGCCACCCCGGGAAAAGACTCTCTCTCGCGCACCCACACAGCACACACAACACACACACACACACAGTGTGTGTGTCTGTCTGTCGACGTCGACGTCGACGTCTACCCGTCTACGTCTACATCCAGCGGCCGACCCATCGCTCTACCTGATGCGGCGGCTTACTCGCTCGCTCGCCTGGCTTGCCCCGGCACGCTGTGCCTGCTCATTCTCATTCGACGTTTGGTTTCTCTCGCTCCGTGTTGTCTCTCCCTCTGTCTCTCCGGAAATTGTTGTTGTTTTTTGTTTTTTCTCTCGCACGCTATCCCACGCATCAAGTATTGGAGAGGCGCCGGTGTGAATCGTAGTGTACATTACCGTTATCAGGCTTCCTGGGCTTGGAGTCGGATGTGTCCGTAACGCCCGGTAGTGCTCCTAAGGCAGTGTCCGATGTACATCCGGCACTTATAACTACTGAGCCCGAGCGCGGTTGGCCCTGCCCAAGACTGTCCTTACACTTTTCCTCACCTGTTTTTTCGTTTGTTGTGGCTTGTGGCCCTGATTTATGTGGTCCGTCCTTTGGTGGTGGAGGTGGGGGGGGTTGTTGTCCAGGTCCAGGTCCCGGACCCGGTCCTGGTGGTGTGGTTTCTGTCTGTGTTCCTTGTCCCGTGCCTGCCGATGTTGTTGGTGCGGCATCCGCTGGTGGTGTGTCAGACCTGCCTCCTTGTGCTACGGATGGTGCCTGTGCATCCGGTGCAGCTTTGGGTACTGACACCCTGTCCTGAGGAACAACGCCCTGTTTGGGTGCCTCTGGTACCTTAGGTGGTGGCGGCGCTTCTACTTTCTTCGGTACCTGGGGCGCGTTACTGCTGTCTTCTTTCTTTTTGTCCTTGTCCGTCCCCGCTACAAAAAGGAGAAATATGGTAGAATGATGATAAAAAAAAAGGACACAAGTGGTACAGAAAGAAGGGGCGGTCGATGTGGTGTGGTTCGATCAGGTAGCGCCAGGGTGGGGGTGCGGCTCGATGCATGGGTCGGCTGCATGGGTCCAGGTGCACTCGGTGAACTGGGTCAGGCGGCAGCAAGCGCACGGTGAGGTGGATACATGGTAGCAGTACACTTGTATTTGTTGTTGCCGTCATCTCGTCTCCGGTGCCGTCATGACCGGCGCTCCATCCCACGCACGACTGTGACGCCGTGCCGCCGCACACACGCACAGACCTGGTGTACACTACCCGCCGCTCCCGTCGTGGCCATCGCTCCACGACAGCGAAGTAGCTTGCTGTGCTGTTGTGGCCGCTGTTCTCGGCTCAACAAAGAGGGTGCTGTTTCAGCCGTGTGCCGTGCTGTTCCCCGCGCGTGTGCGTTGTTGTTGTGGTTTTGGCGGCATCCGTATGCGCAGTCCTGTTGGTGGCGGCATCCATATTCGGCTGTAACGGTGCCGGCCCTGTCCGTGCCGGCCGTGGTAGTATGCGCCGTATGCGTATTCAGACGCATGCGTACTATGCGTATTCGTATTGCCCGTATGAGTAGCACGCTGCTCCTGTACTGTTCTTACCATTCGTATCCTGCTCTTCATCGTCATCCGCATCGTCATGGGCCTCATCGTCCGACTCTGTCTCAGGGGACGCCGCTACATTGCTGACTCCTGCTGCTATCGCCTGTTCCCTCCATTCTTTTTTAATTTGCCTGAATGCCTTCCTCATTGCTGTCTGTAAATTCCCCCCAACGTTCTGTATTTTCTGCAAAGTGTCCTCATCTACTTGATCTGTTCCATCCTGCTTGCTTCCTTTAGTTTTTGGCACTGCAAGACCACAATTCTGCACGAAGCTGTGTCTGTTCAGTGTGTTCTGTATGTTTACATTTCTTTTCAACCACTCCTTCACTGCGTCCTTCATGCTCCACCCAGCCACTTGTAGCTGTACGTCTAAATTTTGCGTGCACGCCTGCGTATAGACTAAATTCGTGCTCCAGTTTGGTAGGGCCCCCATTTTTTCCATTGAGTACCATGCATAGAAAATGCCCCACGTACTCGCACATGCGGACTCGTTCAACAAGTGCATGAACATGTGCACGATTGTACACTTAATAAAATTCCTCAATTCTCTGTTTCCGACACTATCATCTTCCATATCCGTGCCTGGTGCTTTGCTCCACCCATTAAGGAAATACAATGCTTTAGTCATAAGTGTGCATATAATTCTGGCACCCATGCTTTTAACTATTCTGGGTGTCTCAGTCGGGTCATCCGGGAGCGGCCAGCCAGAGTTCTTGCAATTCACAGAATACATATCGTCCATTCCATCCTCTTTCAAATGTTGTATAAACTTCTGCAGCTGTGCCTCTATATCCTGCCATAAACTTGTCTGCAATTGGAGTAATGCGGGGGCAACTACATATATGTCATTTTCTTGTCTTCACGGAAGATACTCGCGCCAGTCGCCCCTATGCTACATTGTGGACAAAGGATGGTATGCTCACATCGGGCATATGCTGTCCCATTCACGTAACGTAAACATATGTTTGCTGCAAACTGAGTACCCTGCGTATCGACCACCTATATATATGTGTAGGCGCATGCTCACTCCATTTTGCCCTCACAATGAATTACCGTATATGCTGTTCCATCGCCCCCTAGTGCCCTTTCCCGCACATAATGTGCTAATAAGTCCCCTAACCTCTTATAGTTCATATTGTCATTATCATAAATTAATAGAGTCCAACGGATGAAACAATTATGCTCAGATAACGGCTTTAGTATAATATGGACATAATATTCTATTACTTATTATTCAGATTGTTAGGGAACGGAACATGTCTTCCAGTATAGGCTGCCCGCTGAAACATGTTCCATGAACAAACTATCCCCTATCTGAATGTAATCACACATGCCATAAATCGTGGGGTTTGGAAGAAGGAAAAAAAGAAATGAAAAAAGGGAAACAAGACAAAAAAAGTGACCCAAAAACAACGTATCACTACAAATGCATAACAACATCCACTGCGCAATACAGAGAAGACTCTGTCTCTCTTCTACACATGAACAATATCCCCCCGTAGAGAAGAACAAAAAAGAAAAGAACACAAGAAAACATAGAAAAAATACTACACAACGCGTCATGAATATACACCCCCACCCCCTTCTCTACTAAACGCCTTGACACACACGCTGTCTCTGTGTGAGTACACCTAAAAACCGCAGTAATAACAACAACATCAGTGTCGTCTTCCGTCGTTGCCGCGTCCTCGTACAAGCGATTGTCTCCGAGCAAACGCGGCCCGGTAAAGGCGATTGTGCGAGTAAGACGGATTCGACGAAGGATTGTCCGAGTGTAAGAAGGAGGAGGATTGTCTATCCGAGCAAACGCGTCGACCAACGCGGCCGGGTGCACGATTCGACGTAGTGGCCGAGTGTACGCAGGCGCAGGATTGTCGCTCGGAGCAAACGCGTCGACCACCGCGGCCGAGTGTAAGAAGGAGGAGGATTGTCTCCGACTAAAGCGGTTCGAGTGAAGGGGTTAGAGGGACGCATTCGAGTAAGGCTTTCGCGGGACGGATTCGAGTGAGGCAGCAGGGAGCGGGGGACGAGGACGAAGGAATACACATATTATGTGCGGCAGCAATAACGGCGTCAACGACGGCAACGACGGCAACGACGGCAACGACGGCAACGACGGCAACGACGGCAACGACGGCAGAAGTCTTGATGTTGTTGTTATACTGGGTTTTAGTTTAAACAGGGGGTATTTGTTGTTAAGGATTTTAGTGAACAGGGGGGAATATTCTCACTATGTATCGGTAGAAGTTCCCGTTAGAGGAATATGGGTCCGAAACATACTGTTCCATTAATGTGCACTTCAGTGAGCAAGGCCACGAGTGACGAATTGTATAAGGGAAAATAGGGGAAAGCCATGTGGAAGTATTTGACAGTACTATGGGAGGACTATATAGACAAAAAGGATATAGGGGTCCAGAAGGACGATATTGCGAACTTTGGGGTAAGTTTAAATATATGGGATAATGCAACACATGTCTAGGAGGTATTATATTAGTATATTAGGATAAAAGGGAAGAATGCATTGAGAGGCTGAGAGCGTGTCCTAGTGTCGATCACTATAATTTCTGTGGGAACGGGGACGCAAAAATGTATTTATGCAGATAGGTGTATAGTAGTTTGTAGCATTACATGAACACAGAGAATAGAGTACGAGATTATAACTAACATGCGAATATATATAATGCATATTATATTTATAGGAAAAATTTTGGGGAAGTATAGAGACAGTATGGGAGAAATTTAAAAAATATATGCAGGACGAAGAACAGGCAGGTACAATGCGAGAATCGTGTGAAGCATTAATGGATTCAGAGTCTACTAAAGGATGGGGTCCAGGGGACAAAGATATATGCGAGTTAACACTTATAGCATTACATTTTAAACATGACATTTATTCAGTGATAGAGAATGCAAACTTACAGAATATAGATGGTATGGTAGATAGGGACAGGGACATAATAGTGTATATGAAGTGCATTCTAGTTAATATATTTATGAAAAAAATCATAGGCAAAAACTGTTTAGCAGCAGAGGGCGGGCAATTGGCATTTAATTATGCGAAGGGAGTATTCAACGATATGGCCGGGAAGCCGGTAGGTAATATTTCATGTGAAGAGAAGGATGCAAGGGAAGGGGGGGTACCAGGGGTGACAGCACAAGATAGAGATTTCTGGGAAATAATGGAAAGGTGGTTTGAAAGGAATAAGGAAAAAATAATGGATGGGGATACGGGAGTATGGGGTCCAGAGTGTAAAGTGGAAAGAACAGGAAGAAAGCAAGGGGGCAAGCAAGGGTTGGAAGTGAACGATTTAAAGGAACAAGTGAAGAATACAATGGACGAGGTTGGGAAAGTTATGGGTGAGAAGGTGAAGACAATAATAGAGATGGTACGTGGATGCGACAATAAGGCCTGTATGAAAAAGATACTGGAGGACGCAAAGAACAAAGAAAAGGAGGAAACATCCCGCCCAAAGGCTCCTACAGGGCACGATCAGCAACGGGGGGCTCAGACAACAAAATCATCACCATCAGGATCTGCAGCACCACCACTATCAGAACCAGGGAAAGTGGAAGAACGGAATAAAACAGGAGCGGCAAGTGCGTCAGCAGTAACATCATCCAGCGCGGGTGCGGAGAACACAGGACAAGGGACAACACCGTCACCTGTACCAGCACAACCACTGGGATCACCGAGGACTGAAACAGAAGCGGCGCCACCACCACCAGCGGCACCACCAACAGCTACCGGTGCAGAGGACACCCAAGGATCCAGATCACCACCTCCTCCACCAGAACCGTCAAGTCCGACAGTACCGTCAGACCCAGGACCTGATGGAACTTCGCGGAAAGACTCAGGTAAGCCATCAGTGCACAGTGCACACAACACGCGTGTTCGCCAGAAATCTCCAAAGCTTCCGACAGACTGTGAGCATCTGCAGGGAGCTCATGAGGATAAAGTTTTACAGTGTTTCGATAAGGCGGGCCAGAGAGACCGCCGCGGGATGTAGACGTCGACAGACGTAGACGCACACACACTGTCTGTGTGTGTGTTGTGTGTGTGGTGTTGTGTAGTTGGAGAGAGAGAGTCTTTTCCCGGAGTGGCACCGTAACCACCGTTCGCACCGTGGCCAACCATGAGCGATGGACCGTGAGTCCCACGATCGGTTGCATCGTGTGGCCAACCAACAACGACAACCATCTATCAACTTGCCAAACTTTAGATTCATCATCTTCCTTCTTCCCTTACACTTCCCCTCAGGACCTGCAGGCGTAGACACCACACCTACAACGGATTCACAAAAACCAGCACAAGAACCACCGGCACCACCACCGAAGGCAGCACAACCACAACCAGCAACATCCTCCAGTGGAGCCGCAGCGGCATGCCCTGGTCCAGTTGGTCCCGCAGGTACAGCTCCTGCGTCCGGCCCTTCTGGTCCCGGCTCCTCAGGACCTGGTTCTACTGGTCCAGGTTCTACTGGTCAACAAAGCCCTGGTGCCTCAAGTCCTGCCTCCCCTCCTAGTGCTACTAACGATCAAGGTATCGGTTCTAATAAAACAAATGGCGGTAATGATTTTGTATTAGGATCAGATCCTCCAAAAGCAGCAGGTGACTTAGGAGGAAATTACGGCCCACGTACCCCACAGGTTCCCCATACTGTAGTCCCAAACAATGTGCCTTCGAATGATGGTGGTCCAACCCCGCCCGACCTAACGGCCGACGTCCTTACCGCCACTACTCCCGTACTCTTCTTCCTGTCCGCCCTCATCGTCGCCATTCTTGGTTATTCCCTGTGGAAGGTAAGCACAGCCACAACGCACAACCACACAAACGCACAACCACACAAACGCACAACCACACAACCACACGCACAACGCACACACAAGCACGCACAAATATAACCGAGTGGAAAATGGAACAACAACCGTTGCCATTCGCCATTCCACTGCTCCATCCGCTGTTCCCAAAAGGAACTATAACCAACTTTACACCATTTGGAAGTTACTCCACAAGAAAACAAAAAAACGATAATAACTTTTAGAACAAAGAACAAAAAAAACAAAAAAAAACCTACTACAGATTAACGTCCCTATATGCGGATACATTGTACATTGGAGGCAACGGAGTTTGGGCTCGTGCGACACAATATATTAGATACATGGTCACACAAGGGCCTTATATGTATGTAATACTAGCACAATATGCATATATTGTTGTAACTATGAAAGCTTATT